CGCGGACAATGGCTGCGATGGTGGCCTGATGGACAACGCCTTTGACTGGATTGTCGGGAAGAATAACGGCACTGTGTACACGGAGGCGAGCTACTCCTACGTGTCAGGTGGTGGAAACTCGCAGAAGTGCAACATGTCCGGCCACGTGGTGGGCGCCGTCATCTCTGGTCATGTTGACTTGCCGAAGGACGAGGACAAAATGGCCGCCTGGCTTGCTGCCAACGGCCCGCTCGCCATTGCTGTCGACGCCACCAGCTTCATGTCCTACACGGGCGGTGTCCTGACGAACTGCATCTCCGACCAGCTGGACCACGGCGTTGTGCTCGTCGGCTACAATGACAGCAGCAACCCGCCGTACTGGATCATTAAGAACTCGTGGGGCGCGGACTGGGGCGAGGGGGGTTACATCCGCATACAGAAGGGCACGAACCAGTGCCTCGTCAATAACTACGCCTGCTCGGCGGTGGTGTGTGTTTTTGTGTGTTGTGTTTTTTTTGGTTGTTTTGCATTTTTTTTGTTTTTTGTTGCGTTATTGTGGGTGTGTTTTTTACTATTTTTATTTGTTTTGGGTTGTTGGAGGCGTCTCTTTTTTTTTTATTATTATTATTTGTGTGTTGTTTTTGTTGTTGTTGTTGTGTTATTTGGTTGTTTTGTTCGTCGGAAATTTTTTTTTAAATTTTTTGTTCTGTTTTCTGCGTTGCGTGGAGTTATTAGTTTAAGCTTCCGTAAGGCTAAGTTGTGTGCGCCGTGTTGGGTGTATTTTGTGTGTTTGTTTTTGGTTTGTTGGCCTATTTTGTGGTTTGGGTTGGCTCGTAGCGACGCGTTTTTTTCGTGCCATCCCGATTGTGCCGTCGCCAGGCGCTCTTGCCGTTGCTATGAGTGGTCGTGAGGAGCAGCCACGTCTGGCGGATGGACTGAACGCTGCGGAGCCGGTACGGCGTCCGCGGCATCCGTCGTGGTATCCGCCTATGCGCGACGACGGGAAGGGGCTGCGCTTGATGAACTCCCTGACGGAATGCGTGGAGCCGTTCACCCCACGTGTGGGGCGGCTAGTGCGGTGGTATATGTGTGGGCCTACCGTCTACGACGTCGCCCATATGGGTCACGCCCGTGCCTATTTAACCTTTGACATTTTGCGCCGCATCATGGAGGACTACTTTGGCTACCAGGTCTTGTATCAAATGAACATCACCGACATTGACGACAAAATAATCAAGCGGGCCCGTATTGGGGCGTTGCTGAAGTGGTTTCGGGAGGATGTGCTGCAGGGACGTGACATGGCGCGGCTCGTCGCCTTCACGGCCGAGTCGGAGACGGCGGCGGTTGCTGCCTTGGCTGAGACGCGGCGCAAGCTGTCGGAGGCGTTGCCGGACGCCACCCCGAGTCGCGTCAAGGCGGAACGTGAGGAGAAGTTGATGGAGCTTGCGCTGAAGGAGTCGCAGCTGCATGCAACACGGGAACGCATTGTGTCGGCGACGGCGTCTGGCGACTTTGAGGCGCTCTTCACCGCGGCATCGGGGATTAACGGTGATCTGCTGGATGAGCGCGAGGGGCAGGGGGTGACAGAACAACGCATCTTTGAGGACCACGCGCGTTTGTATGAACGTCTCTTCTTTGAGGACATGCGGCGCCTTGGCGTTCGCGACCCGGACGTCGTCACACGCGTGACGGAGTACGTGCCGGAGGTGGTTGACTTTATTCAGCGGATTATGGATAATGGCCTCGCCTACCGCGGCACAACCTCCATTTTTTTTGACACCGCTGCCTTTGCGCGGGCAGGGCACGATTACCCAAAGCTAAAGCCAGTGAGTGAGCGCGGCGAGAGTAACGCGACAGAGGCGGAGATGGCGGAGGGCGAGGGGGCGTTGAGTGCGGGTGTCGCCGGTGAGAAGCGGAGCGCGAACGACTTTGCGCTCTGGAAGTTCTCGAAGCCCGGGGAGCCGCGTTGGCCCTCGCCTTGGGGTGAGGGACGCCCCGGTTGGCACATTGAGTGCTCCGTCATGGCGTCTGATATACTTGGCACAAACATGGACGTACACAGCGGCGGCTGGGACCTGAAGTTTCCCCATCACGACAACGAGTGTGCGCAGAGCGAGGCGTGTCACATGCAGCACCAGTGGGTGAACTACTTCCTGCACTGCGGGCACCTGCACATTAAGGGGCTGAAGATGAGTAAAAGCCTTAAGAACTTCATTACGATCCGGCAGGCGCTGGACGAGCTCGGTGTCACACCACGCGTAATGCGGCTGCTGTTCCTTTCGAACCACTGGGGAAAGTCGATGAATTTCTCCGATCAAAGCATCGATGAGGCAAAGGAACGGGAACGCGTTCTGCGTGCGTTCTTTGGAAGCGTCGATGTGGTGCTGCGGAAAGACACCTGGGGCGAGACGCAGGGCTTCAACTCCCACGACCGCCGCCTAAGTGAGTTGTGGTTAACCGTCGAAGACACCGTCCACTGCGCGTTGCAGAATAACTTTGACACCCCTGCTGCAATGGACGCCCTCATGGAGCTTGTGAGTGCGACAAACCAGTACCTCCTTAGCGGGGAGCGCCCGAGTGTGACGCTAGTGCAGAAGGTGGGCCGCTACGTCACCCGCATGCTGCGGGTCTTTGGCGTAGCTGAGGGGGGCGACGTTGTTGGTTTTGGGGTGCGGCAGGGCACGGACGACCGACTCGTGACGGTCATGGACGCTCTTCTGCGCCTCCGCGATGGCGTGCGTGACGCGGCGAAGGAGACGAAGAGCACCAGAACGTTTTTGCCGCTTTGCGATGCGGTTCGCGACGAGTGGTTGGTGCCTGCTGGAATCCGCATCGAAGACAATCCCGCAGGACGCACGACGTGGAAGCCAGACGACGTGGCGACGCTTCAGCGCGAGGTGGCGGAGCGAAAGACGCAGCAGGCGACCGAGCGGCGCACGACTCTCGTGAATCAAATCGAGACAAAAAGGAAGTCGACGGAGAAGTGGCGTCAGTACGTGTGCCCACCGCAGCAGTACTTCCGCACGCGGGACGCGGAGAAGAAGATGTACGCCGCCTTCGATGAGACGACGGGGCTTCCGACGCAGCTGGTGGCGACAGGCGCGGCGGTCGCGGAGAAGGAGCAGAAGAAACTCGCCAAGGAGCTTGCGAAGTACGCGAAGCTGCACGAGGAGTTCGCCGCAAAGGGCGGTGAGAAGTGGCTGGCGGAGCAGGAGCGGGAGCTGGAGGAGCTTACGGGGGCCCTCAGCCGCCTTTGACGAAGCGCAGGCGGAGGACGAAGGACACACGAAGAAGAATAGATATGAAAATAATAAAAGCGTGGAATGAAGAGGAGAGGGGAGCCAAAAACAAAACTAAAAGCAAAACGAGCCGGCACCGCCGCCGCATCCCCCCGGCCGCAGTGGTCGCAGGGGGGTGGGTGGGGTGGGAGGGAGGGGTGATGCGAAGGGGGGCAGAGCGGGGTCCGTGGCGCAGCGAACAGAGACGAAGGGGGAAAGAAAATAATAAATGGAGGCAGGCAAACAGAAAAGCGATAGAAACACGTTTGAGGAAACACAAATACACGCAAGCAGTAGAAGGTGCAATCTTGATTTATCCACACACACACACCCTCCCCTCCCCTCCCGCACACACAAACACAAACATACAGGCCCTCGCGGACGATTATGAGCTCCTGTGGCATCGTGTCATCCGTCTTGTTGGGCGTTTATGCTGCCTGTGTGGGTGGTTGGGTGCGTTTATCTCCTCACACGGCTCTCGGGCATTTCCCCTGCCTCTTCTCACTCCCTCCCTCCCTTTTTTGTGGGGATGCATCTGTGCGTGTGCTCCAGTTGTGCGCCACCAGCTGCTAGGACTACACTACCGCGGTATTGCCATAAGAAACCAGACGACAGCAAGGCAAAAGCTAAAGAGGGGGTGAGTCATTAGAAAAAAGAAGAAAGAAAAGCAAGAAGGAGCGCAGGAAAGGCTTACCTCCCGCACCTTAGAAGCTAACAGCTGTGCTTTCTCTTTGAGAAGCGAGCCGAACAGAAGAAGGACAATACGATGGGGTTCGATTTCAACTGCCTGACTAAGGTCCTTGGCCTGGTGAAGGAGGTCCATGGGGCCCGGGGGAAGATGAATTACATGGACTTGGGACTAAAGCTCATAAAACTCGCCGGTCCCTACGTGGTGCAGTATATTGGTACCGTCAACCGTCCGCCGCGGGTCGAAGTCGAAGAGGCCTTTCAGCAAGCAGAGGAGGCGGAGGGCTTTAAGCCGTGGGAGGCACCCGTGCAGAAGAGCGGCATGTGTCGTGCCCTCTTCATTGGCATCAACTACTACGGCACTCGCGCCGAGCTCTCCGGATGCTGCAATGACGTGAAACAAGTTCTCGCCACGTTGCAGAAGAAAAGGTTTCCCATTGACGAGATGTGCATCCTTGTCGATGAGGAGGATTTTCCCGGCGCCACCGGTCTCCCGACGCGGAGCAATATTGTACGCTACATGGCGTGGCTGGTAAAGGATGCAAAGGCGGGTGACGTGCTCTTCATGCACTTCTCTGGTCACGGCACCCAAACGCGTGCGTTGCAAGACTCAGATGAGAGTTTTGATCAGTGCATTGCCCCGCTTGACTTTGAGCGTTACGGCTGCATTCTTGACGATGACATTTTCAAAATTCTTCTAGGAAGACTGCCGGCTGGGGTGCGATTCACCGTTGTGTTTGACTGCTGTCACTCTGGCACTATGCTCGACCTTCCATACACGTTTATGGGCAGCAGAAGTCTGCGCAGCGGCGTCACGGGACACATGCAGCGCATCCGCAGAGGCAACACGTGCGAAGGGGACGTGCTGATGATATCTGGCTGCGCCGACGAGCAGACCTCTGCCGATGTGACCAACACCGCCACGCTTGGGATGAGCACAGCAGGGGCTGGTGGGGCCGCCACGCAGTGTCTGACCTACGTCATACTCAAAGAAGGCAATCTATCATACCATGACATGCTCATCGCTACCCGCGACATGCTGAGGAAAAAGCGATTTACGCAGGTGCCGCAGCTAAGTGCATCCAAGCCTATCGATTTACAGCGAAAGTTTTCACTTGTAAAGACATTTGATGTGGATCACGCCGTTGTCTAATAAGCGGGCTGCAGCGGTGTGTCACGATTTGGTAGCCATGTACCACACGAGAGTGTGGTACTTTTATATTCTTGTTTAGCTTAAGAGTTTATCTATGCCACACGGTTTGCTTTATTATTAGTGTTATTATTATATATATATTTTTTAGTTTACTTTTTATTTTCTACTTTGTATGTATGTATGTATGTATGTATGTATGTATGTGTGGTGGGGGAAGGGGGAGGGGCTCGCTGCTGGACTTCCGGTCGTGCACAGCGCCCTGTCCGTTTGTTGCCAAATCACTCCTTTTTTTTTTGTTTTTAATCGCTCTCTCTCTCTTGTGCGTTGCGGGGGGTGGGGGGTGTTGCGTGAAACTACAAATATATGTATATATATATAATGGAGGAAAAGTAAGACGTGTGCGCTTCTGCCTGCGTGGAGCGTTTGTAACGCCGACGGCGTTGTTGACGGGTAAAACGCCGGGCCCGTAGCATCACCGCGAGAGAAGCCCGCTTGTGCAGGGGACGATTGTTTACGGTCCCCCGTGTGTGTGTGCCTGCGTCGACAGCCAATGCTGCGGTGGGTGTCTTTACTTCTCCGTCGCCCTGACGCCGGGGTGCACAGCATACATGTCTGCTGCCGCCGCCGCTACCACCAGAAAAGCAGCAGCGTCGCGAAAAACAATCTTGCAATGATGTGTGGGGGGAACACGTGTGGCTCCAGTAATGGCGTGGGCGACGGTGAGACGAACAAGGACGGAGGGCAGGAAGCAACATCATTGCCATCAGCAGCGGCTGCTGCGCCCCCACCGCCTGACATGTCATCTCCTGTAACGCGCCGCCGCCGTAGCAGCAGCAGCAGCAATATGAGTGATTTGCTGCACATGATCGCAGAACGTAGACGGCCCGCCAGTGAAACGGCGACGGGGCGAAGGCCTTCAAGGTCCACAAGGGGAGGAGACGCCGTATTAGCGAAGTGCTTCACCTCAGCCGCCGCCGCCGCCACTCAGTCCGCACGGAAGCAGCGGCCACACGCCCGGCCAGCCGCCGTGCCGGAGGTGATTCGCGTTGAAAAGACGACGAGTGAGGCAGTTGTCTCATCCACGCTTTTAGAAAAACTTCGACGCAATGTGGTGCGTAAGCGGCTCAATTGGGAACGGATGCTCGCACAGCACCCACTCCTGCAGCGACTGCCTGTGTGGCGGGAGCGATCCGTCTGGAGCGCGCGCTTCGCACCATCATCGGCTCTTCCTCTGCCGAGTGTTGCGACTACGACGGATGTATTTGTCTGCAGCGCACCGACAGGTTCGGGGAAAAGCAGCCTGGTGCCACTTTTTCTGTTGGAATCCCATTGGGTGCGACTGCTGCAGCGCATAGACGCGTCCTGCGCAGTGGCGCATCAGGATGGCGTTTGTGTGGAAAATGCAGCCACGCCGCCTACACCACCCATGCCCTTTGCCGTTGCCGGCGGCCCTCGCGAGTTTGTAGCGGAGTTTGGGGCAAGTAGCCGTCTCTGTATTGTGGTGTCGCAGCCCACGCGTCTCGCATGTGTGGAGCTGGCGAGGTTCACCGCTGCTCTCGTGGCCGCATCTTCATCACCGACAGCAGCAGGCACCTCTTCGCCGTCAAGTGATGTGGCTCATGTTGGAGGTCGGGTTGGTTACGCCGTTGGTGGTGATGCGTGCTTCTCAGCAGCCACTGAGATCATCTACGCGACGCCGGGCTACATTGTGAATGCACTGCAGCACAAGGGCGGGGCGGTGTCACCTACCACGCTCGTCGTTGATGAGGCACACTGCCGCGACATGGAGACCGACCTCCTCCTCGCATGGGCGAAGCAGCAGCTGCAGGAGCAGGGTGCGGGGAAGACGCAACTCCGGCAGCTGCTGCTGATGTCCGCGACGCTGCCCGTGGAGCAGATGGTGGCCTTTTTCACATCGCGGCTCACTGGAGGCGTTGCAGCGACCGGACTCACCCCACATACACTTTTACTTAACAGAGCAGTGCAGCCGTATCGGGTGGAGGAGTACTTCATCGATGACCTTCCCGACGCTCTTGAGGTCTCCCAGGTGCTTCGCTGGGGCGGCAAGAGGAATCCACTCGCCGCTGTTTCCGCCTCGACGTCCTCGTTCTCGTCGTCAGGTGCGTTGCCGGCGTATCCGCTGCTGGACGCACCTGCGCGGCGTGTGATGGCATCGTTGGGACACTTTTTCTCCTACACTCGTTTTGCTTCTGACATTCACTCCCCGCAGGCCCGCATTTTGGCGCAGTTCTTGCTATTTATTCTGCAGAGTCTTGCCACGACGCCGTCTATGTTGGGGGCGGCAGCGCAGCAGAAGCAGCCGGAGGGTATTTTGGTGTTTCTCCCGGGCTTTGCGGAAATGTCGTTGGTGCTGCAGTCGTTGGAGGCGTTGTGCCAGGCGGCGGAGGCATCCACGTTTTCGCCACAGCGCGCGAGTCCTCCCACGCACGGCGGTGTGAGCAGCAACCGCGGCAACGTCATATTTCTCCGGTACGAGCAGTGGTGCTTTTCTGTCGCGCTGTTGCACGCCACAGCCATTGGAAGTCCGCAGCAGCAGTTGCACGACTCTGCCGGTCCCTTTCCACACCGTATTATTCTTGCCACAACCGTCGCGGAAAGTTCCGTGACAATTCCAAACGTCCGCTGCGTGGTGGACTCTTGCCTGGAGCGACGCTTCTTCACCGACCCCATCACGGGCGTCATGCTGCGCTGCACAGCAGTGGCGAGCGCCAGTAGTCTGCGGCAACGCGGGGGGCGCACGGGACGAACGTGCGACGGTGTTGTCATTCATTTGGCCCCGCGCCGCCTGTTTCGCCAGGCAGTGGAGGCAAACACCGCGCTGCAGGATAAGATGCAGACGTCACACATGCCCATGCCGGCTGTTGCAGCAGCGGCGTCAACGCTGTCCTCTTTGAGGCGTGGTACACCGTCGGGTTTTGTGGCACCTGCGCAGACGCTGCCGGAGAGTCTGACGGCAAACGCAGCGGCGGTGCTTCTTCGCGTGAAGTATTTGTTTCCCGAACGCCCAAGCGTTTTGGTGCGGAATTTGCCAAGTCCACCGTCTCCAGACTCCATAGCCCGCGGCATGGAACAGCTTGTGGAGCTTGGGCTTCTGCAGTTAGCCGCGAGCGGGGCCGATGGCGCGGTTCATGAAGGTAGCAGCAATGAGGATGATGCCGATAAGCAGCAGAGTAACACGTGGAACGAAGCGGAGGATGCAGACGACCACATGCATGCCGCGCTGTGTCGCTACGATGGCGCCAGTCTTACCGCAAAGGGGGAGTTTGTGGCGTATCTTCCGATCCCGCACGAGCAGGCGTTGCTGGTTTATTACGCCTTGCAGTTTGCGTGTGTTGAGGAGTCTCTTCTCGTCGCCTGCGCCATGACGGTGCCATCGCTGCTGATGGTCCCACGCATGACGGTACGGGGCGGCAATTCGCAGGCGGGTACACCGGCGCTGCAGTACCTGCAATCCCTGTTGGCTCAGCGTGAACTGGCGGCAGTGGGACGGGGCGGAGAAGAAAGCGCCGACACCGCCGCAATCTCCGGGGAGGAGCGAAGCGGCTGCCATCTCAGTGAGCCGCTGATGCTGCGCTCGCTGCTGCGTGAGTGGTACGCCTGCCACGACAGCAGCGACGTCGTGGCATTTCACGCCAAGTACCGCCTGAACCGCAGCGCCATCCGCCTTGTGGACGGCTGCGTCGCACAGTGCGCCGCCCGTCTCTACCACCTCTTTGCAGTGGACGCGAACCCACCTGACGACGCGGCGGAACTACACGGCGAGTACGACACGGCCGTGCGCCGGCCGAGCACGCAGGCGGTGGAGCAGCTTATCACCTCCGCCTTTCCACGGTCGTACCGGGCACTGTTGGCAGGCTCCCTGCAGCGATTGCACTGCTGCGCCTTGGACCACGCCGCCCACCGCTTGTCGCCAAGGAGCTGCACGATGACGCACTGGTACCCCCACGACAAGCAACTCATCCGACTGCTGCAGCCGTCGGCGCAGGGCGGGGGGCGAAAACAAGGACGCGATGGAAAACGCCAGAACGGTCCCACGATGATTTTTGGTGCCTTTCAGCACCGTCTGAGTGCGGCATTTGTCGCCGCCTTTGCCCGCAACACTATGCGTGGCGAGGATGGGTCGCATCGCGTGCACTACCGCCGACTCGTGCGCAACCTCGGCGCCCTGCAGGAGGAGGAGGAGAATATCTGCTCCTTCACTGTTGAGCTGCACGCGCAACAGCCGCAGGCGGGGGGGCTCACTCAGGCAACACTGCACGAACGACTTACGCCGGAGGAGCTGCACCGTGTGCTGGTGCCGTACCTAGCAGACACGCATCTGCGTCAGCTGGACCTCTTCGCCAGTGGACGTTCTGCTGTGGCGTGCTTTGGTGCCGAGGAGGTGAAGGAGCCTGCACTCGCAGAAGATGCTTTGGCCCCGTCTGTGCAGCAGGAGGCACGTTCACAGCAGCAGCAGCAGCTTCTGCTTGCACCGCAAGTCCTGCCATTCGAACGCGCCGTCAAGTCTACTACTCCCGCGGTGATGCTGGCGCACATTGGTATTAGTCTGCTTGTGGCGATTCAAAGCGTCCTCACGCGTCTCACGGTGCTGCTTCCACCAGTAACTGTGCCGGGTAAGCATGACAAAGGCAGTAGCACTGGGGGCAGCAGCAGCAGCAGCAGCAGTAATCATAATAGTGACGGTGGAGGGGGTGAGGGTGGCACACGAGACTGTTCCACGCCGACAAGGACGGTCTCCGGCGCTGTTTCCAGCACTTATCGTGGGATTCGCTTCGCCTCGGAGCAGGCGGCGGGTGAAGCGCCGTCAAACGTGCGTGTGACTTGGTACGACAACTACGGACACATGTGTTCCCTGCTGCTGAGCGATGTGCGGCGTGCGGGGTACGAGGAACTCTTTCCGACGCCCTCTGAGGCCGCGCCTGAAGACGCAGCGAACGTTCACGGGGGCAATTCTCCTTCAGCGACGATGGGACGGGTTTTAACCTCCTCGAGCTGCACTGAGACGGAAGCGAGATACGACGATGCGGCAGATGCGGAGGAAAATGTGATGTTGAGTGTGCAACGCGTCGCGTACACCCGCGCCGTGTACTGGAAGGTGACGCTGCCGGCAGTTCGGGTGGCAGCCAAGCGGTGTTGCTCGGGACAGGCACGAACGTCATGCACAACGAACACGGCAGCGACACCTGCACCCGTGCCAGGGGGTGAGTTTCACTACTGTTGGGTGTGTCACAGCGCCTTGATGCAGCACGGGGCCTTCCTGGCTCACTGTCGCTCTGTAACGCACCTTAGTCGACTTGCCTTTGCTGTGCGCCACGGCATGCGGCGTGACTGGGTGGAGGCGTTCAGCAACGGCACACCGTCGCACCTGCTGCTGCGGCAGAACGAGAGTGAAGGCGGTGGGATGGGCATGGAGCTCCGGCGCTGCAGTGTGTCGCCGACGTCGTTTATGAACGCTCTGCAGCTGCAGCCGCGCAGTGATACGGCGGTCGCCACGATGCCCATCGCCATTGCGGGTTCACTTGTCGCGCAAACAACGGCGGCACAAGACGCGCCAAGTGCATCAATGCTTGGCCCTGGGGCAAATTTGCAGGCGCTGCATGTCTGGGTTCTGGACGCCGAGACGAAGGCTGCCGTGCCTGCAAACGCCTCAATGGGCCCACACACAGTCAACTCCCTGCCCTCCTCTGTGTTTGTGCTGGCTGGTTACCTCGCAGCCGCCTCCACAGGCTTTGAGGCGGCGCTGCTGATGAATGAAGACCACTCCCGGGTGTATGCCGTAATGCTGCACGACTGGGGTGTGTGGCGCCTGCCGGCGCCGCTTACCCGCACGCAGCTGCGGTGTGTTCTGGAGGTGTTTGCGGGGAAACCATGGCGTGGTGTACCCGTCGTCTCCGATGATGTGGAGGGTGATGCTGACTGCAACGGTGTTGGCGTCGCGGCTGCGGCCGGCGTGAGGGTAGGCGGTACGCATTGGTGCATCGCTTCCGACCTCTGCCCGCAGTGCACGTACTGTGGCAGCGGCTGCAATGCCGCTGAGAAGCGGCAGCAACGGCAGAATGTGTCGTGTGATGACACGCCGTCCCCGGCGGAGGTGGTGGAGGGCGCGCTGCTGATTGTGCTGCACGAGTACAAAAACTCGCAGCGCAGCGTTATCAGCTTCGCAGACTACGTGCAACGTGTAGTGGCAAAACTCAACGCATGGTCCGCCGCACAGCAACGCCAGCATGAGCAGCAGGGGAGTACCGCGACGCGTTTAGGCCGGCAGTTGGCATCGAACCAAACGGCGGAGGGGGGCGGCGGGGCGGAGTTGCTTGCGCGGTTTGTGACGCGGCGACACAATCAACCCCTCGAGTCGCTGCTGCGCGACATTGGCTGCCAGTTCCTCACCCCGCCGGACTTCTTCCTGCAGACGGCAGGCAAGCAGCCCATCTCGTCCACAGTGCGGTCCAACGACACGCACGTGAACCGCACGGTGTCCTTCAGCGCGAGTGCGGCGGTGGCGGCGGAGGGAACCACAACAGAGAAATTATTTCTTCTTCCAACCGTCTTGCCGAGTTATCTGCCGTCGCCGGAGTTTGCCGCACTGCTGCGACGCCACCGGCGACGCATACGACAGGCGTCCGGCGATGGTCTTTCGGCCACAAACGCGGAGGGGCTGGGTGTGGCGACCAACCCCCAGCCGACGAAGCAACAACCGCTATTTTAACTGGAGCCACTGTGTTTGTTCGTATATATATATATATATATATATATATATATA